TTATTTTGGTTAAGTAATTGAAAACAAAAGCGATTTTTTTCATAAAAATTTGAAAACGAATTATTAATGAAGAGCAAGAATAACATAATAACGATCCGTAGGTTTAAGTGAAGCACTGTGGGCCGGATTATTTTACTCCGTGTGCCGGATATGGCCCGCAGGTGGCCGACCTATAATCTAAAGTCCTCTAACTTTGGTTTCCCGCCATGCTTCTTGTGTTTTTATGGTAGTATTGTGGGCACCGATTACTGTTTTCCACCTTTCTCGGTGTCGCAATAGCAGTAGATAATAGAAAATTTCTTTTCATGTTCGAAACAGAACTCATGGTTACGCTTACTCTAAATTGCAGTTTGTCCCTAAAAACAGTATTCCTAAAAACTAGCAGCAACTATTGTGTGTGTCACAGTTTGGCTGGAAATACCGCAAACCCAACCGTTGACAGAAAAAGTGTGTCCCTCGTTTCCACGCAAGCTTTGTACGCAAAACAAGTACTGTTCATCCACGTTTCTAAGACCAAATAAGCACGCAACTCAAAAATAAGCACTTTTCTTAGAAATAAGCACATCGTTACTTTATAAGACACGCACTAGAAAATAAGCACAAATCTTAGAAATAAGCACGGTATGGCAACCCTGCCTATAGGTAAATTTGGGCCTGTGTATACTACACTAAGCCTGACGGCATAATACCCATTTTAGTCATGAGAGGTGAGTGGCATGGGATAAAAACTGATAAATAAAACATTTCTGACAAATAAAATTATCCGAAAATAAGACCTACCCAGAAAATAAGACCTAGCCTGAATTCTAAAAAATGATTTTTAAAAAAATGTTTTTTAATATTAAAAATATAAGACATCCCCCGAAAATAAGCCCTAATGTTATTTTTCGGAAGAAAATTGAAAATTTCGGGGAAATACGGTATATATATATATACTGTATATATATGTCCGTATTTTCTAATCTTTTTTAAAAATGAAGCATTACTATAGTAAATTTTGAAGCGGTTTCATTCTGGAACGAGCCTTTACAAACCGAAAACATTTTTAAAAATGAACAATTCTAAATTGAATGTTTGGATCGCTAAAGCTTATACGCCCTAGTTTTCAGCTTATCTTGCTTAATGGTGAATCCGGCCCTGCAGATTGGATATAACGCACTTCAAACTCTTAATCGTGGTGCAAAGAACTGAATCTCCTTATTCAACCCGGGTAATATCTATGTCAATAGGGAGAATTTAGCCTTTGGGAACCTTCAACTGATTTATTAACGTTTCTGCTTTTATATCGTGTGTGTTTATTCCTCTTTTATTACGTTTCAAACATAATCAATAAATTCTTTCAAATTATGCGCGCCTTCCAGGTAATTCTGTATCGAGCCGTTTTCTTGCTTTTCCAAAATGAAATTATTGTCTCACATTGGATACCAATAGAAATCCGACAAATCGTTTTAAATGAGCACGTAACTTCTTTAAAATATTAGATAATCTTAAAGAAAATTACCTTGTCTTGTGGTTGCGTGTTTTGAGGCATGAATACGTGACGGCGCCTCAAGTCAGCCGTTTGTGTTGCCAGCAGTTACAAACAAGCACACTTCAAAGAATTTCCAGTTATTGTGGTGACGCATAGTTCTGTATGCTTTTAGTAGGTGGGAAGCTCGTCATTTCTTAGAAGAGGTACTAATTATACAATTTTTAACTTAATATGAAGTTAATACTGCGATTTCATAAAACGCCAATAATATTCGGTAATGAAAAGGTTCACCAATTTCAGCAGTTGGTTGTAAATATATCTGGATATAGTCAGGTGCTCGAAGTCAGGAAAATTTACACTTCACACTCAAGTTAAAACTATTCAAATTGCTCTGACTCAGCAACATTTTGACGGCTACTCCGAAGTTAAGGGAATTTTGACTTTAACTCTAGCTCTAGGAAAACTAAATTTGACAAAACATCCCAGTTTATTGCAGCTGAAATATTCTCTGGGCAAAAACTCGGGTCCTCATGTAGTTTCGTACCTAACATACTTCTAGTGGGCCGCAGCATGACAATTTTTTCACGTATCAATCCTAACCCCCACCTGACTACACCATCCAAAAATTGACGTAATAGAGCCCTTCAAACTATACGAACTGCCATCCAAGACGCGCAAACGAGCACCCGAAATCGAACAGTTATTTCTCTCGTTTTCTCGTCGCAACGATTCCAATAGGAGAGAGACCGATAATGTCAGTCAGTTCTTTATCGTCGGCGCCAATGCCATTTCGAGCGATTGTACGTATATTTGGCAATCTCTATGACGTCATTGTGATGTCGTAGTGACGTAATTCTTGAATGGCGTAGTCAGATGGGGGTTAGGATTGACATATCAAAAAATTGTTATGCTACGCCTACTAAAAGTACGTTAGGTACGAGACCCAAAAACTCCATGTCAATCTGCCTATATGCCAAGCCCAGTATTGTTGTGAGATTGGGGATGATGCTTTCGTTAAATAAACCTCATTATTAAATTTAACAAAGCGAAGTACATGGTTGGTGGAACATTGTTTCAAACACATAAACTACTTGAATGGCATCAATCGAATCATGATGTGATCCATCCATAACATGATTTCCATATCCATTTTTGTTAAATACATTCCTAATTGTTGAGATGTAGGCTACATTGTTATCACTGTATTAGTTCTTGTCATTCGATTGGTGATTTTCCCCCGTACTTTAAAACGAATATTACCTTGCTCTATCAGTACAATTACCAATAAAATTGATTCAGTTAGCACAATATAATTTTCCCCAAACTTCCAATAAAAATAATATGAATATTGGTCAATTTGAGTCTACCCCGATTTTATTTTGCAGATACCCGCCCTTTCTCTGTAGTAAACGTAGCCTTCATTATATAGTCATCTGGCATAGCATCCTTACTAAAATCTTTTGTAATCCCACTTTACAGTTATTATATAAGCCATGGCTCTTGTGCTAGGAGTAGGGGTTGGAATATGGGTGCTAGGAAGTCTCTGGGTTCTCACTTTACTGTGCTGTCTAATATTTATGAGAGCATCAGGTGGAGCTAAGCATTATAGCAACAGGAGTATTTGCAGCAGTTGCAATTGTAACCATCATTTATTGACTCTGCCTCGAGAAGACATAACAACAAAACTCAGCGACAATCTTATACGATGATCTGATCATTCTTCGATATGTTTTCATCGTACTAGCAAGCTTGTGTCTACTGCTGGACTTATCGGTTTCGTTATTCATTTAACAGAACCAATCTATGCTAAGACACTCAAGAACTCATGAAATTAGGATTCAAACATTACAGAAATGCAACGATCATGTTACTACAACAAAACAATAAAGTATTAGTGAAGAAACGATAGGAAAAAATACTGCACAACAAAAAAATGAACATATTGAAGAAGATAATAGACGAAACCCAGCTTTTGGTCATTGAAGATATCACAGCACCTACAAACATGACTTTATAAAGCATTTGATGAATAAACTGTTGTTATCATTGATGCAAAAATGGATATAAGCTTGCATATTACGATTTAGAAGTTCCGTAATCTGGTTTTCAGGCCAAAAATGCATAATATGTTATGAAAATAAATACAGACACAATGTCAGGAAAATGGGTATTTAAGTAGGTTAAAAAATACAGCAAGATAACAGCAATAGAAAACTTACAGTAGTTTCTTTGAATGTATGTGCAAAATTTGGTCAGTCAATCGTAAATCATGCTTAATTATTAACAAAACATAAATATTGATTCTCACAAAAACGGACTACTGATAATTACGGCCCTCTTCGAGATTATGTTGAAACTATTCGATACAAAATAATATGCAAAAATTTGAAGAAATTCGGAAAGAAAAATACTGGCTGTAAAATAGTAATATCAACGGAGGCAAATTGAACATAATAAAAAAAACATACTAACATGAAGTATGATATGTAGCGCATCTGCAGATTAATTTTCAAATGGATACAAATACAGTATGAACGGTTTTATTTACCTATATACATTTATAATTTTAAAAATGTAAAATAATGACGAAACCGTAACAAGTATTTGTGATACAAGCAATAAGAAAATCTTTCAATGGCAA